TTTTTTTTTTAAACTCCTAGGAAATCCACCTGGCATGAGAGGCAGGGCAGTGACCCCAGCTACTTCTCAAAATACCATCGTTTGTTTAGTGACCGGTTGAAGTTACAGCGGTGCTGAAGAAAAGTGACTTAGGACGGGTTTTCAGGCCTATGACCATCGCCAACACCCCTATAATCACACGATCAGCATTTGGGTGCCTTTCACTCCCACCCCCAAGTTGGTTTCTGACAAGCACAAGTCAATGGGGGAAAGCCGGATTCGCTGGACGACCGTGGGATCTGCTTAACGACTTTGGCAAAAAAAAAAATGTACTGCTGGGCAAGAGTCACTTAACAGCCCTCCTTGCTGAGCAGTGGAAATTCTGGTCCCAATTGTGGTTGTTAAGTTGGGGACGAGCTGTGCCGACATTTTAAAATGTAGATTCTCCTAGTTCAGTGGTTCTCAACCTGTGGGTTGGGACCCCATTTGGGGTCGAACGACCATTTCACGAGGGTCGCCAAACAACGCAGTCCACCATTTCCCCCCCCCTTTTCCTTGGCTGTGCTGCTCCCTTTTATTCTATTGGCTTTTGAAAGCCAATAGAATAGACTCTCTTGAATAGAGTCTAATTCTATTGGCTTTCAAAAGCCAATAGGAATTGTCCAGGCTGTCTCTGCCCTGCTGAGCCCGCCAAAAGTCCCATTCTGCAAACGGTGCTGCACCAGTTGAGTATTCCTTGACTTATGACCGGTTGAGTAGTCCTCGACTTACGACCGATTGGGGGTCGCGGCATTAAAAAGGTTGAGAACCACTGTCCTAGGGTAATGGTGAGGCAACCTTGGCTCTTTTAGGACTCGTGGACCTCAACTCCCAGAATTCCTGAGCCAGCCACGCTGAGGGGAAAGGGAGAGGTTTCCAAGCTCAGCCATGCTGGCTCAGGAATTCTGGGAGTTGAAGTCCACGAGTAATGAAGGGGCCAGAGTTCCCCATGCTGGCTCAGGAATTCTGGGAGTTGAAGTCCACGAGTCATAAAGCGGCCTAGGCCTAGACCAGGGGTAGGCAACCTTGGCTCTTTTACGACTCGTGGACTTCAACTCCCAGAATTCCTGAGCCAGCCATGTTGAGGGGAAATGGAGAGGTTTCCAAGCTGAGCCAGGTTGGCTCAGGAATTCTGGGAGTTGAAGTCCATGAGTAATGAAGGGGCCAGAGTTCCCCATGCTGGAATTCCTGAGCCAGCCACGCTGAGGGGATTTCCAAGCTCAGCCATGCTGGCTCAGGAATTCTGGGAGTTGAAGTCCACGAGTAATGAAGGGGCCAGAGTTCCCCATGCTGGCTCAGGAATTCTGGGAGTTGAAGTCCACGAGTCATAAAGCGGCCTAGGCCTAGACCAGGGGTAGGCAACCTTGGCTCTTTTACGACTCGTGGACTTCAACTCCCAGAATTCCTGAGCCAGCCATGTTGAGGGGAAATGGAGAGGTTTCCAAGCTGAGCCAGGTTGGCTCAGGAATTCTGGGAGTTGAAGTCCATGAGTCATAAAAAAGCCAAGGTTGCCTACCCCTGGCCTAGGTTTTTGGTAAGGCAAATGTTTAGTAGTACAGCTATCTTGCCTTCTATGATCTAGCAAAATTACTACAAAACTTCTCTTCTCATGCCAGCCTTTTTTCCTTCCTTCCTTCCCTTTCTTTCTTCGATCTTCCTTCCTTCAAGTTCTTTCATTTCCTTCCTCCTTCTCTCCTTCCTAAGATCTTCCTTCCTTCCATTTTTCCTTTCTTCCTGGAATCTTCCTTCCTTCCTAAAGTTCTTCTTTCCTTGCTCCCTCCCTCCTTCCTTCCTAAAATCGTCTTTCCTTCCTTCTTTCCCTTTTCCCTTCCTTCCTTCCCTCCTTTTTCTTCGATCTTCCTTCCTTCAAGTTTTCTTTTCCTTCCTCTCCCTCCCTAAGATCTTCTTTTCTTCCTTCCCTCCCTTCCTTTCTTCGATCTTCCTTCTAAAGTTCTTTCTTTCTTTCCTTCTTCCTTCCTAAGATCTTCCCTCCTTCCTTCCTTCCTTTCATCCATCCATCAGCACAATATTAACCTCCGTCACTTACCTGAAGTGTTTGTAAGTACAGCTAGTCCACAACTTACACAGTCCATTTAGTGGCCGTTCAAAGTTACAACGGCACTGGAAGAAAGGGACGGATGATCGTTTTTTATACCCTTACGGCATCCCCAGGGTCAGGCGATCAAAATTCAGACACTTTTGTCAATTGATTCCCAATTTATGACGGTTGCAGCCTCCCGGGGTCACGTGATCCCCTTTTGCTAGCTGCTGACAAGCAAAGCCAGACAGGTCGTAAAACGGGGCAAAATTCACTTAACAACAGAAATGGTTGGCTCAATTGTGGTCGTCAATCGAGGACTACCTGTAACCTGCATTTCATCTCAGGTTGAAGCTTGTAGAAATACTGAGAAAACCCAGCTGAGATTAACAAATGTGTTATGTCCTGACATTAACAAATGTGTTATGCAGACCATGTGGCCTGCCCTGGCCAGATAGGCTATCTCCAGCCTATTGAGCATGCGCAGAGTGGGAAAATACGTTGCATTTATTGGCTGACGCTGTTCCCTGCAGAAGGTATAAAAGGGAGCGGAGCCATTTTGTGTTGTTCTGTTAAAGCCAAAATAGAGAAGCATCTGTTGTTACTCCTACCTCGTTTCAATGCCTTATCAACGCAAAGAACAGAACAAAATGGATGGAAACTCATTAAGGAGAGAGGCAATCTGGAATCAAGGAGAAATTTCCTGACAGTGAGAACAATTCATCAGTGGAACTACCTGCCTCTAGAAGTTGTGAATGCTGCAACACTGGAAGTTTTTAAGAAGAGACTGGACAGCCATTTGTCATAGGGTTTCCTGCCTGAGCAGGGGGTTGGACTAGATGACCTCCAAGGTCCCTTCCAACTCTGGTATTCTGTTAAAATAAAACTCCAGGATTAAGAACAGGAAATCTAGACCTCTATTCTAGATGGGTGACTTCTGGAGTTGAAGTCCACAAGTCAGCAAAGGGCCAAGTTTGAAGATTCCTGATACAGACTTTAAGAGGAGTGGACTTCAACTCCCAGAATTCCTCAGCCAGCGTGCCTGGCTGAGGCATTCTGGGAGTTGAAGTCCACAAGTCATAAAAGGGCCAAGTTTGAAGATTCCTGATACAGACTTTAAGAGGAGTGGACTTCAACTCCCAGAATTCCTCAGCCAGCGTGCCTGGCTGAGGCATTCTGGGAGTTGAAGTCCACAAGTCATCAAAGGGCCAAGTTTGAAGACCCCTGATATAGACTTTAACAGTGGACTTCCACTCCCAGAATTCCTCAGCCAGGCACGCTGGCTGAGGAATTCTGGGAGTTGAAGTCCACAAGTCATAAAAGGGCCACGTTTGAAGACCCCCTGCTCTAGAAGGATGTTAAGTGCTGTTCCTTATTTTCCAGCAGGCATTAAATGCCTTTTGAGGTATCCTATAATTGAAGACCACTTTTAAACTGCTCAGTAGGTAGGCTTCCTCCCAATAAACCTTGGGAATTATAGTTTGCTCAGGGAACCGTGGCATTCTTTGGGAAAGACGAAAGTCTTCTCTCCCTGGAGGGATAGAAAGAGTTTCACAGAGGGAGAGGAAAGGGCAAAGGGGGAGGGGGGTCAGAAAACTTCCACCTGCCATAACTTCAAAGGTTCAACTCTATTCTCACAGAATATTTGTAGCTCAAGATTGAGCTGAGGGATCCTTGGTGCTCTCTGAGCTTAGTTATTTTCTTGCAGACATTTCCTGACCCAACTAGGTAACATCATCAGTGCTAGAAGACAGGGGGGCTGTGGATTGGAGGAGGAGGAGGAGGAGGAGGAGGAGGAGAAGAAGAAGAACTGTGGGGTCCTTGGTGCTCTCTGAGCTTAGCTATTTTCTTGCAGACGTTTCCTGAGCCAACTAGGTAACATGATCAGTGCTAGAAAAAAGTGGGGTTTGCTTCTCTTTCTGTATGCAAGTCAGTGTTAATGGGAGTATTCCGGGTAGTTCCTTGATTAGGCTGTTGTTTATTGTCAGCTTGTTTGTCTGAGTTGATAGTTCCTTGATTGGGGTATAGTGTTTGCTTCCAGATGATTGGCCTAGTATTAACCTTGGTTTTAACCTCTGGGTGTCGATTGCTGCTGAAGGAGTGTTTGGGTCTTTTTGTCTCCTTTTGGGTTTTCTGATTGTCTCTCTTGAATGGTGTGTAAATGTCGTTTATCTCCATGCGTCTGTGGATGGCCAATTTATCCGAGTGCCGGGCTTCCGCATTTGGGGACTCAGCTTGGTCTAGGATGCTCACACTTTCCCAGCTGAAACTATCGTTAGATTGGTCCACATGAAAGAGTTTACATCAGGGGTGTGTCAAACTCGCAACGTCACGTGACGTGACTTTTTCTCCATCGCCGGCAATGGGATGGGCGCGCTTTCGGCATGACGCATCCGGCCCGCGGGCCAGCAGTTTGACACCCCTGATTTACATCATGACTTCTCACTGCTAGATGGCATTCATGCAAACCAGTGGTTCTCAACCTGTGGGTCGGGACCCCATTTGGGGTCGAGCGACCATTTCATGGGGGTCGCCAAACAACATAGTCCGCCATTTTTCCCCCCTTTTCCTTAGCTGTGCTCTTCCCTTTTATTCTATTGGCTTTTGAAAGCCAATAGGAATTGTCCAGGCTGTCTCTGCCCTGCTGAGCCCGCCAAAACTCCCCTTCTGCAAATGGTGCTGCACCAGTTGAGTAGTCCTCGACTTACGACCGGTTGAGTAGTCCTCGACTTACGACCGGTTGGGGGGTCGCGGCATTAAAAAGGTTGAGAACCACTGATGCAGACGATCTGCTAGTCTCCTGCCCTGTTTACCCTTCAAAGCACGGGTGGTGTTACCTAGTTGGGTCAGGAAACGTCTGCAAGGACACAACCAAACTCAGAGAGCACCAAGGACCCCACAGAGCTAAACGTGCCGTATAAAGAATTTCAGAGGGGAGTCGAGATTGTAGTGCATTGGCTAATGGAGTCATAACAACAACAACAACAACAAAAACACCACATCAACTAAAAAGTACTCCTGATAACAAACCCTCCCTGGAACACAAAAGTATACCTGTGGCTTCCTCCCCCCCCACAATAAAAGCAATTTGTAGAGCACCAAAGTTATGTCTGAGGGGCCAAGTGCAAAGATTTATGCTGCTGGTTATTGTCACATATTCTACTTGGGAAGATCTCCAGCGGAATGACAGGCACCATAATTAGAAAAAACGTACACAAAATGCCTTGGTTCTTTCCTTTAGATTTCGGTGGATTCTATCCTTTCCAGTCGGGATGGAGTCCACGTTTTCTTTTCATCGGCGTGGGAGAGGCTGGCGGCCTTGCTGGTCATCTCGTTCACCTTGTGCTCCAGAAGTTGGTTCTTCTGATACATCTCCACGTAGTTCAACTGCAGCTGCTTCTGGTACTTGATGACTTTCTCCTTCTCCTCCTGCCACGTGCAACGCTCCTCCTCAAAGTCCACAATTTGCTGCTCCCGTAACTGGCGCTCGGCTTTCAGCTCCCCCTGGAGCCTCTCCACTTCTCTCCTCAAGGCGTTGAGGTTCTCCTCGCTCTGTCGTTTCATCTTGGCCTCGTCGCTCTCGCAGGCCACGGGATCCCTGGCGAGCTTCTCCGGCAGTTCCGAAGGGACATGGTTGGGGTGTCCTCCCAGCTGCACCAGCGTCTGCTTCAGGTTGGAGACTTCCAGCTCACACTGGCTGAGCTTCTCCCGCAACATCTGGACCTCGTCCATCTTCTGCTGCAGCTCGTTCTCGCAGAAGTCCAGGCTGAGGCTCTTGGTGCTGTAGGAGTCCTTCAGCGTCAAGAACTGCTCGTCCTTCTCTCTGAGGAAGCTCTGGCCTTCTTTGAGTTGGGTACGCAGCCCGACGATCTCGTTCAGCTTTTGGGAGACGTCGGCTTGAGAGTCCTTCAGCTGCTGCTTCAGCAGGGAAATCTCGCCGGCCTTTTGGCACACCTGGAAGAGAGAGATGCCCATGAGGTAACCTCTTAAAGCAGGGGTCCTCCAACCGGGCCCTTTTATGACTCGCAGACTTCAACTCCCAGAATTCCTCAGCCAGCGTGCCTATCTGAGGAATTCTGGGAGTTGAGGTCCACCAGTCATAAAAGGGCCCAGTTTGAAGACCCCTGATATAGACTTTAAGAGTGGACTTCAACTCCCAGAATTCCTCAGCCAGCGTGCCTGGCTGAGGAATTCTGGGAGTTGAAGTCCACCAGTCATAAAAGGGCCGAGTTTGAAGACCCCTGATATAGACTTTAAGAGGATGGACTTCAACTTCGAGAATTCCTCAGCCAGCATGCCTGTCTGAGGAATTCTGGAAGTTGAGGTCCACAAGTCATAAAAGGGCCCAGTTTGAAGACCCGATGTACACTTTAAGAGGAGTGGACTTCAACTCCCAGAATTCCTCAGCCAGGCATGCTGGCTGAGGAATTCTGGGAGTTGAAGTCCACCAGTCATAAAAGGGCCCAGTTTGAAGACCCCTGATATAGACTTTAAGAGGATGGACTTCAACTCCCAGAATTCCTCAGCCAGGCAAATTCTGAGAGTTGAAGTCCACAAGTCATCAAAGGGCCAAGTTTGAAGACCCCTGATATAGACATTAAGAGGAGTGGACTTCAACTCCCAGAATTCCTCAGCCAACGTGCCTGGCTCAGAAATTCTGGGAGGTCCACAAGTCATAAAAGGGCCCAGTTTGAAGACCCGATATATACTTTAAGAGGAGTGGACTTCAACTCCCAGAATTCCTCAGCCAAGCACACTGGCTGAGGAATTCTGGGAGTTGAAGTCCACCAGTCATAAAAGGGCCGAGTTTGAAGACCCCTGTCTTAAAAAAAGTCAGTTCCTGGGCATGACCAAATGTAGTTTCAGATCTGCACAGGGGACAAACTGAGCCCTTGTGAAGGACCTATATTCACCGGATAGTATCCCTGGCTCCTTTCATCACATTAGACCCTAGATCAGGGGTGGGGAACCATGGCTCCTTTGTGACTTGTGGGCTTCAACTCCCAGAATTCCTGAGCCGGCATGGGAAATTATAGCCCCTTCATGACTTGTGGACTTCAACTCCCAGAATTCCTGAGCCAGCATGGGGAACCTGGTTAATTGTTCTCACTGTCAGGAAATTTCTCCTTAGTTCTAGGTTGCTTCTTTCCTGGGTTGGTTTCCATCCACTGCTTCTTGTCCTGCCTTCAGCTGCTTTGGAGAAGAGCTTGACTCCCTCTTCTTTGGGGCAGCCCCTCAGATACTGGAAGACTGCTATCCTGTCCCCCCTCGTCCTTCTCTTCATTAAACTAGACCAGTGGTTCTCAACCTTTTTAATGCCGCGACCCCCAACCGGTCGTAAGTCGAGGACTACTCAACCGGTCATAAGTCGAGGACTACTCAACTGGTGCAGCACCGTTTTCAGAATGGGGCTTTTGGCGGGCTCAGCAGGGCAGAGACAGCCTGGACAATTCCTATTGGCTTTTGAAAGCCAATAGAATTAGACTCTATTCAAGAGAGTCTATTCTATTGGCTTTCAAAAGCCAATAGAATAAAAGGGAGTGGCACAGCTAAGGAAAAGGGGGAAAAAATGGCGGACTGTGTTTTTGGCGACCCCCGTGAAATGGTTGTTCGACCCCAAATGGGGTCCCGACCCACAGGTTGAGAACCACTGAACTAGACATCCCCAATTCCAGCAACCGTTCCTTACATGTTTTAGCCTCCAGTCCCTTAATCATCTTTGTTGCTCTTCTCTGCACTCTTTCTAGAGTCTCAACATCTTTTTTTCATCGTGGCGAATTATCTCCATATGCACGTGGTCCTCAACTTACCACCACAACTGAGCCTAGAATTATAGTCATATGTCATTGTGCTCCCAAAGGTGCTTTTTTTCAGCAGGCAAGCGGATTTCCTTGTTTTTCTTTGAAGACGTTTCGCTTTTCATCCCAGAGGCTTCTTCGGCTCCGACTGGATGGTGGGGAAGAAGTCAGAGCCGAAGAAGCTTCTGGGATGAGAAGGGAAACATCTTCAAAGAAAAACGAGGAAGTCCGGTTGCCTCCCCCAAAAAGCACCTTTGGGACAACCCTGACTGGAATGACAGAGAAGCTCCACTGACTTTAACCATCATGGTTACGCCACCTGCGCAATCCTGGCTCCCTGTGTTGCAGTTGTTATTGGGAGCACACGGTGCCTCAAGGGGTGTGTGGGAGCCCCTGGGTGGCTGAACGAATTGTCGTAAGGTGAGGACTACCTGTCATTGGAAGAGGAAGGAGAAGACTCCCTTTTTTCAAAACTACTACGGGCTGTCCAGGAGACCACTCACAACGTTGGTTGAATCCCTTGTTTGGTGTTGACCCTGGCTGACGCTCACCTCCCATCGGGTCTCTTCCATCTTGGGAAGGAACTCGGCCTGCTCTTTCTTGAAAGCCACAAATTTCTTCTCCAGCTCTTCCCGTTGTTGAAGGAGTTGAGCCACGTCCTCCTGGAGCTTCTTCTTCTCCTGCTGGAGCTTAAAGATCTGGAGCTGGAGAGCCTGTTGAGCTCTCTGGGCCTTCTTGGAGACTTGCTGAAACTTGTTGGCGTAGTTCTGCCTCAGCTCTTCCATCTCCCGTTCCCAAATCTTCTGCTTCTCCTCAAAGACCTGGTAGATGGCCGTCTCGCTCTTGTCCAGGTTCCTCCTCATCTGGAGGACTTCCTGCTCCTTCTCCCACAGCCGGTTCTCCAGATCTTCGATGATGTCGTCCGTGGAAGGCGAGTGGAAAGGCAGCGTCTCGTTGAGGTGGTTGAGTCGGCTGAACGAAGACGTGCTCTTGGTGGAAGATCGGCCGCTGTCTGAGGTAGATATCCCGTATCCCACCACGTTCTTCTCGCCGTAGGTGGTCCCGATGCGGTTGATGTGACTGGTGGAGGCGCTCATGGGACCCACGTGCTGGCTGTAGCCCGTGCCGTAGGTGGGCAAGCTGGTTAAAGAGTTGCGGCCGGAATCGGAGAGACCACCTCCCGCATTGGTAGTCCTGTTAAGGCTGGCCTTCTCCAAGCCGCTTTTGACCGGGGCGGGACTATTGCTGTGCGTGTGGTTTAAAGTCTTTCGGTTCTCGGTGGCCACGCCATTGTTCTGCGGTGGACACAGGTTTTGCATGGAATGGAAGTTTTTAGGAACAACTGGTTTAAAGGCTGAAGGTCTAAGTAAGGATTCGGTATTCTGAAAGGAGAAGTAGAAGCACACAGCAAATAAAGCAGAATTTTCATTTCTCTACAGATTCATTCAATTTATTAAAGAGAATTTGCTTCTTCGTTTGTTACATTTACAGTAACGGCCAAAATTGCGGAAACCTTTTTGGGAAAAGTGTATTTTTGAGGTTTGATGGCTAATAACACCGCTTTTTTTGGGAGGGGAGGAGTACCATAAAATGATATATCGATGGAAAGATAATTTAATCAAGAATGTAATGCAACAAATTTTGTTCAATTATCTGTACTGAATTCCTGATGCCAAAATGGGGGAACTGTGGCCCCTTCATGACTTGTGGACTTCAACTCCCAGAATTCCTGAGCCAAAATGGGGGAACGATGGCCCCTCTATGACTCGTGGACTTCAACTCCCAGAATTCCTGAGCCAAAATGGGGGAACTGTGGCCCCTTCATGATTTGTGGACTTCAACTCCCATAATTCCTGAGCCAAAATGGGGGAACTGTGGCCCCTTCATGATTTGTGGACTTCAACTCCCAGAATTCCTGAGCCAAAATGGGGGAACTGTGGCCCCTTCATGACTTGTGGACTTCAACTCCCAGAATTCCTGAGCCAAAATGGGGGAACTGTGGCCCCTTTATGACTTGTGGACTTCAACTCCCAGAATTCCTGAGCCAGCATGGGGAACTGTGGCCCCTTCATGACTTGTGGATTTCAACTCCCACAATTCCTGAGCCAAAATGGGGGAACTGTGGCCCCTTTATGACTTGTGGACTTCAACTCCCAGAATTTCTGAGCCAAAATGGGGGAACTGTGGCCCCTTCATGACTTGTGGACTTCAACTCCCAGAATTCCTGAGCCAAAACGGGGGAACGATGCCCCCTCTATGACTCGTGGACTTCAACTCCCAGAATTCCTGAGCCAAAATGGGGGAACTGTGACCCCTTCATGACTTGTGGACTTCAACTCCCAGAATTCCTGAGCCACCATGGGGAACTCTGGCCCCTTCATGATTTGTGGACTTCAACTCCCAGAATTCCTGAGCCAAAATGGGGGAACTGTGGCCCCTTCATAACTTGTGGACTTCAACTCCCAGAATTCTTGAGCCTGCATGGCTGGCACAGGAATTCTGGGAGTTGAAGTCCCCAAGCCATAAAGGGGCCATAGTCCCCCCACCTGTTAGGTTCTATGTGACTGACAAGGAACCCACCATCATCTTCAGATTTTTCTTATCTGAAGACGGAGACTCACCTGGTCCAGTTTCCCGGAGACTGGCAATATCTTTGGTGGTTTATTGGCTTCTCTGTACTGGGGCAGTGGCGGAGGCATGTTCTTCTCGTTGTTGGCCGCCACAGTCCCACAGACGTCGGCCTTTCCCTTCTCGTTCTTGCGCAAGTCCCCATTAATGTAGATGGAATTGGAGACCTTCTCCGCCTTGCAGGTCTTCTCCTCCCCAGCGTGACGCGTGGAGAGAGTGTAACTACTCCGGGTCCCATCCAGCTGCGGGTGGCTGTTCTGAGGCCTGGTGCCCAGGCTCTTCAGGGCAAAATCCTTTTCGGGAGGGACTCCGCTGCCCACGATGCTCTGCGAGGTGGACTCAGAGCTCCTGGGGTGGAAGGCGTGGAAGGTCTCCTGGCTGTGGTAGCTGGCGTCGCTCAGGATGGAGAGGGTCTCTAGTTTGGCCATGGCGAAAGGTGGAAGTCAGCGGTTCTGGGGAAAAGCCAAAAGAAAAAAGAGCATTGAGGGGGGAAAATGCTGTTTTTCCTACGCAGTACTGAGCATGAGAGAAATATAGAGCCGGAAAACAAGAGCTCTCAAAGCGAGACCAGGAATTAAGGATTAATCTACTTTTAGAAGAGAAAATGTGTAGCTCAGGGTTGAAATGAGGGGTTCTTGGTGCTCGTTGTTTCCTTGCAGACATTTCATGACCCAACTAGGGAACGTCATCAGTGCTAGAAGGGAAGGGGATGGGGGGGGGAGAGGAGGAGAAGGACTGTGGGGTCCTTGGTGCTCTCCGAGCTCGGTGGTTTTCTTGCAGACATTTTATTACCAAACTAGGTAAGATCATCATTGCTAGAAGAGAGTGGAATTCTGGAGAGGAGGAGGAGGAGGAGGAGGAGGAGGAGGAGGAGGAGGAGGAGGAGGAGGAGGAGGAGGACCATTGTGGGTCCTTGGTGCTTTCCAAGTTCAGTGTTTTTTTGCAGACATTTCATGACCCATATAGATAACATCATCAGAACTAGAAGGGAGTGAGATTGGAGGAGGAGGAGGAGGAGGAGGAGGAGGAGGAGGAGGAGGAGGAGGAGGAGGAGGAGGAGGAGGAGGAGGAGGACTGTGGGGTCCTTGATAGTCTGGGCATAGCTGTTTTCTTGCAGACGTTTTATGACCCAACTAGGGAACATCATCAGTGCTAGAAGGGAGGGAGGGAGGAAGAGGAGGAGAAGTGTGAAGTCCTTGGTGATCTCTGGACTTCATTTTCTTGCCGACGTTTCATGACCCAACTAGGTAACATCATCAGTGCTAGAAGGGAATGAGGTTTGCTAGGAGGAGGAAGATGACTGTGGGGTCCTTGGTGCTCTCCGAGCTTGGTAGCTCTTTTGCAAACATTTCATGACCCAACTAAGTAACATCATCAGAACTAGAAGGGAGTGAGATTGGAGGAGGAGGAGGAGGAGGAGGACGAGGACTGTGAGGTCCTTGGTGCTCTCTGAGCTGGGTGGTTTTCTTGTAGATGTTTCATGACCCAACTAGGTAACATCATCAGTCCTAGAAGGAAGTGAGGGTAGAGGAGGAAGAGGAAGAGGAGAAGGAGGGGGAGGAGGATGAAGAAGAAAAATAAGAGGAGGAGGAAGAAGTGGAAGTGGATGGAGGAGAAGAAGGAGAAGGAAGAAGGAGGAGGAGGAGGAGGACGGCTGTGGGGTCCTTGGTGCTCTCTGAACTCGGGGTTTTTCTTGCAGACATCTTATTACCAAACTAGGTAGCATCATCAGATGAAAAACGGAAGAAAGACGAGCACAACCAGCCTCGTACAATACCAAGGCAGAGGGGAGAAAGATCCTGAGGGTGGCATTAGGGGGCTGAGCAAAGCTGCTCGGTGTTTTGCTTCCAAGGCACCGGCACCCACCCACAATTACAAGCGAGAGAGCCCTTCCACACACTTTACACCTTCTCTACAAAAAGGGCAGCAGTCATACTTGGCGATTTGGAGAGGCGCCACTTCTCCCCCTTTCTGAACTGTTCAAGCGCTGCCTGGAAGGGAGACGTTTCAGCACGCAAGGGAGATGCAAAAATTAGAAAGAAAGGGAAAAAACACCCTTCCTTCTGTGCTGCCTGTGCTTTAGCTGTGAAAAACCCAGGCGTCATGTCACAGCAAAAATAAAATCATCCTATCCTTCGAGCACGTTTAAAAAAAAATACAGAATCTGGCTGGTAAACATCCAGCCAGCCTGTGTGGGCTCCAACTCCCAGAATTCCCCAGCCAGCCTGTGTGAACTAGAACTCCCAGAATTCCCCAGCCAGCCTGTGCGAACTAGAACTCCCAGAATTCCCCAGCCAGCCTATGTGAACTAGAACTCCCAGAATTCCCCAGCCAGTCTGTGTGAACTAGAACTCCCAGAATTCCCCAGCCAGCATGTGTGAACTAGAACTCCCAGAATTGCCCAGCCAGCCTGTGTCAACTAGAACTCCCAGAATTGCCCAGCCAGCCTGTGCGAACTAGAACTCCCAGAATTCCCCAGCCAGCCTGTGTGAACTAGAACTCCCAGAATTCCCTAGCCAGCCGGTGTGAACTAGAACTCCCAGAATTCTCCAGCCAGCCTATGCGAACTAGAACTCCCAGAATTCCCCAGCCAGCCTGTGTCAACTAGAACTCCCAGAATTCCCCAGCCAGCCTGTGCGAACTAGAACTCCCAGAATTCCCCAGCCAGCTTGTGTGGACTTCCAACTCCCAGAATTCCCCAGCCAGCCTGTGCGAACTAGAACTCCCAGAATTCCCCAGCGTGCTCGATGTTTGAAAAACCCTGTGCTTGAAGATGATTCCTTACACTCACAGAGGACTAGCCTCTTGCTCGCCTTATTTTGCTGCACTGTGCTAAAATCCTCAGGAACTCGTCCTCTAAAATCTGAGATCTGATTTCCTCCTGGCTGGTTCAACCTGACTGAGACGAAGGGCCGATCATTCTAGCAAAGCCATCTCGGAAGGCCAATTCTTCCTAATTCCAATGCAATTAGCAATAAAATCTTTCCCCCTTTTTTATTACCTCTTTTATCCGGAATGCTTTTGTTTTCTTTGACTGAAGCTGGGCAGGATTTACTCCAGAAAACCCCTCTAAATCCACAGTCAATATTTAACCAGCCCCTCCCCACTCCAGAGGCATCGGCTTTCCAAACACCCATTAAAAAGAGATTTTTTAAAAAAGGACAAAAAGTGCTTTTCTTTTATCGATGCCAATCTCAGTGGCTCTTTGTGGGGGGGAGTGGCTGAATTGAGAGTTATTTGCTTTCCTAATTCTAGGTTCGCCCCCCCCCCCGCACACACTTCAAATGTTCAAGCGAAACTCAAAACTCCCTTTTTCTTTTGGCCAGGTAGCTAGTCCTCAACGTAACGGCCATAATTGAGCCAAACATTTTGGTTGTTAAGTGAGACATATTAGCTAAGGGAGTTTGGGCCCATTTTGTAACCTTTCTTGCCACACTGATCAGTGAGTAACCCGGTCGTTAAATGAATCTGGCTCCTCCCCCCCCATTGGCTTTGCTCATCAGAAGGTCGCAAAAGCGGATCAGGTGAGCCCAGGGACACTTACGACCGTCGTAAGTATGAGTCAGTTGCCAGGCATCTGGATTATGATCGCGTGACCCTGGAGAAGTTGAAATGGTCGTAAGTGTGAAAAACAGTCTCTTTTTTTCAGTGCCGTTGTAACTTTGAACGGCCACTGAATGAACCGTCGTAAGTCAAGGACTCCCAGTACAGATTTATAGAGATTCCTCCCAATCTCTTTCTTTACTCACAGGGGATTAAAAAAAAAAAAAACTAAGGGGATCACGAAATATTTTTTCTTTGCAGGGTCTCAACATTTCCAGGAAAAAAAAAAATCACAATATTTTTGACAAGAAATTCCTTAGAGTTTCAAAGGGGAAGAAGGGTATTTTAGCCTGCAATTTGCTTTCTTGATCAGAATAGAGCTGGAAGGAACCTTGGAGGTCTTCTAGTCCAACCCCCTGCTAAAGTAGGAGACCCTATACCAGAGGTAGGCAACCTTGGCTCTTTTATGACTCGTGGACTTCAACTCCCAGAATTCCTGAGCCAGGCTCAGCTTGGAAACCTCTCCCTTTCCCCTCAGCATGGCTGGCTCAGGAATTCTGGGAGTTGAAGTCCACCAGTCATAAAAGAGCCAAGATTGCCCTATGCCCATTTCAGACAAGTGGCTGCCCAAACTCTTCTTTAAAACTTCCGGTGAACTTCTGGTGGCAAGTAGTTCCACTGGTTAATTTTCCTCACTGCTAGGAAGTTTCTCCTTAATTCCAGGTTGCTTCTCTCCCTGATGAGTTTCCATCCGTTGCTTCTTGTTCTGCCTTCAGGTGCTCTGGAAAATTAGGTTGACCCCCTCCTCTTCTTTGTGGCAGCCCCTCAGATACTAAAATTCTGCTATCAGGTCCCCCTTACTCCTTCTTTTCTCTAGATTAGTCGTGCCCAATTCTTGCAGCCGTTCTTTGTATGTTTTTATTCATTTATCTTATTTATTTGTATCTTATTTATCCCCCACCCCACAAGGCCTGATTTGAGTAACTTTGGAGGAGTTAAAGGAGTCCCCAGAAAATTGCAAATTTATTTATTTTTTTAAATTCGCCAGTGAGTTTGGGAGCTCCTAAATTCCTCCGATTTGTACAGAAAGAAAAGGGAGGAAATAAAACACAGAGACTTGTTTTGTGTCCCTTCTGAGCCAATAATGAGATAATTGTGGGTTTTCCTTGTCTGGAAAACAATATTGCATTTCTGGCTTGCATCGCCCATGGGTGGAAGCCATCCCAAGACAATAGACAATTAAGACTGACACTGATTGAAACCGACAACCTTACAATCATAACAATTGACAATGACAGAAAAGCAAAAGGTGCTTCCTTGTCCTCACTTCCCCCTGTCCTTACATCCATGCTAAATTTGACTATCTAGGATCAGGGGTAGGCAATCTCGGCTCTTTTATGACTCATGGACTTCAACTCCCAGAATTCCTGAGCCAGCCTGACTCAGCTTGGAAACCTCTCCCTTTCCCCTCAGCATGGCTGGCTCAGGAATTCTGGGAGTTGAAGTCCACCAGTCATAAAAGAGCCAAGGTTGCCTACCTCTGGGCTAAGTGAATTGTGCGGTCGTTAAGCACATACGCCTTCCCCCCACCCACCCCATCCCTTGACCTGCTTGTCGGTAACCAGCTTGGAAAAGTCACAAAGGACTTTTGCCCCAGGTTATGACCTTTTTTGCCACAGTTGTTCAGCGAATCTCTGCGGTGGTTAAGTGAATCATGCGCTCTTATGACGACAGATAGTCCTTGACTACAATTGTACCCAAAGTTTTGGCTGAGACCGTCTTAAAGTGAGTTTTCCCCATTTTACGACCTTCCTTGCCACACTTATTAAGCGAAGCACTGCAGCTGATAAATGAGTTAACGAATCTAGCTTCCCCCTCCCGACTTTGCTTTTTAGAAGGTCACAAAAGG